TGGGCGAGGCCGTGGTCTAGGCAACACGGAGTTTTTCTCCGTGGCATCCCAACAATTACTTCATTCACACACAGAAGAAGGCAATGGCAAACCCCTTCTGGATCATCTGCCAAGAACGTATATGAACAGGTCCCAGTCCGAGAAAAGGATGGAAGGATCCTGTTCATATGGACCTGTCGTCAGACAGAACACTAAATAAAATATAAACGCTAGCCATCAGACCATGGCGTCATTTCACACGTGTTTAGTTCCAAATATGTTCTGTTGGTGCATCGTTCGTCGTATGAGAGAACAACAACGAAATGAAAAGCGCCATGCTATAAACGCACGAGCATAAATTATGCTTGCGCATGAAATAAATGAATGTAAGTTTGGTCATACCTGTCCGTCCGCATGATTCAACTCGATACTTTAAAATCATATCTCTGAACTTCCTACAGTTAGTAATACCAACATGGCTGACGAACAAACTTGCGAGTTGGGATGTCTTATGACGTGCCATTATGATTTACGGTGCTTAAGGAAGAGTTTTGAACCCTGTAATCTGTATAGTTGGAAACTAAAGATGTCTAAGATAACTGACGTAATATTTTTATTAGGTAATAATTAGAAATTTAAGGAAAAAACATGCGAGTATTTCTCGTCTTGTTACAGTAAAGTACAAGTGTGTGGATAAAGGACACGTGAAAATTAACGGTACTTTACCAGCTTGTCCATTAGCAAAAGAATGATGGTTATGTAATGTGCAAAAGACAACGCTTGGTTTGTTGCCTGTTTTAAGATTCTGTGTCAAGATTGGAGACAGACAGAAACCACCGGACGAGATACGAACCTGCTTCTTCCATATTAAGAAGCATACAGAGGTTCTGAACCAGTGTGTCAGTTAAGTGCGAGAATTTGCAACGTAAGCCACATAGGCTCATTTCATATGTTTATTACAAGCAAAGCCACTGTTGTTTTCGATTGCTTAACAGCTACTTGATGCTTGAGACTTGCCATCAGCGTGAAGGGGTCTACAGCGCATACGGCTTCAAATCTACGCCTACCAGCGGATAGAACAGATGGTACACTGTACGTGACAGAGAATTTTGTTTAAGAATGTAAGGTTATAATTGATTTAAACATTTCACTGTTAATCCCGAATATACTCATGGTCTAAATAATTCTGTATGTTGAATCAAGTAAAATATAATTATGTAATTTATTAAAGTTTATGTATTGTGGATATTTAATTTGTGGGGAAGGGGTGTAGGTTTAATTTAAAATCTTGTCTTCGAAGTGTCCTTCATATAGAGTCCTTATGTTGATAAATTAAGATCCATGTTTTTAAAATTTGACTGGAGAGATCAATTTCAGTTCATATAAAGTGCACGAGTACTTCGTTTAGGTCCTTAGACGTAATCACAGTAGGCGTAAACGAACGGAAAGTCTGTCACGTGTCGCGGGAAGGGATAGCAGATAGGTTTAAACCTACTTAGTGCTACGACCAGAATGTTGTCTTCTTGCAGAATTATTAATGTATATTAACGACATATTTTAGCTAAATAACAAATTAGCA